GGGGGGCTCAGGGCTCCGGCTGGGGGTGAGGGCTCTGGGGTGGGGCTGGGGATGAGGGGTTGGGGTGTGGGGGTGCGGGCTCTGGGGTGGGGCCAGGGATGAGGAGTTTGGGGTGTTGGAGGGGCTCAGGACTAGGGCAGAGGGTTGGGGTGCAGGGGGATGAGGGCTCTGGGGTGGGGCTGGGGATGAGGGGTTCGGGTTGCAGGAGGGGCTCAGGGCTGGGGCAGAGGGTTGGGGTGTGGGGGGCTGAGGGCTCTGGGTGGGGGTGCAGGTTCTGGGGTGGGGCTGGGGGTGAGGGGTTTGGGGTGCAGGGGGGTTCAGGGCTGGGGTAGAGGGTTGGGGTGTAGGGGGCTGAGGGCTCCAGCTGGGGGTGCGGGCTTTGGGATGGGGTTGGGGAGGAGGGGTTCAGCGTGTGGGAGGGGCTCAGGGCTGGGGCAGAGGGTGGGGGTGTGGGGGGCTCAGGGCTCCAGCTGATGGAACCAGGGATGAGGGGTTTGAGGTGCAGGCTGCCCCGGGGCTGCCGCAGGGAGAAAGGACTCCCTTTATCTCTCTCTCCCTCCCTGCAGCAGCCCTGCACGCCCCAACTCGCTCCCCTCCCCACCCACCCCCTTACCTCTCTCCTCTCCAGGCCCCTGTGGCTGCCTGCGCGGCCCTTTATAGCCAGCTGCACGGCCGTGCAGCTTAGAGGGAACTTAGGCCAGGAGCTGGATACCGCGGGGGAACGATTCAAAGGTACTGGGGGGCTGGGGGTGCAGCTACTGTTAACCTGCAAGGCAAAGTTAGGGGCGGCGTAGCCCAGAGGCGAGTGCCTGAGAGACTCACAGGCTGCTGGAGACCTGCCACGAGAGACTCCCTCTCAGGGGGTAATTAGGTGACTCAGTTCTGAGTCCCCCCAGAACCACCACAACACCCCAAACTGCAGGGAAGTGTCGACACGCCCAAAGGAATCCAAGGTGTTTGGGGGGGGGGGGGGCGCTGGCTCTACCTGACATTGTCTGCCTGGTAAGCTGCCGGCGGAAGATGCACACGGAAACCCCCAAACCACAAGCTTGCAGGCGTTCACTGACAGAGACAGCCAAGCGCTGAATTGCAACTTCTCATATGGCACCAATGGGCATGAGCGAGGGGAAATAAACAGGGGCGGGGAATTAAGCAGGGAAATTATTGGGCCGAGACCAGAACTGCCCACCTGGGGAGGGCAGATGAGGACAATAAAGGGGAAACGCGAAAGGATCTCAGTGCTCACTCCTCGGGATGTGGGGCCGGGAATCGAGTGGGGGACAGCAATGCTTCTGCAGGAAATGCGACCCGACTCCACTCCTCGTGTGTTCCTGGGCGTGTCTTGGTCCTGCCTGAAACGCACAAGGAACTCCCCAACGGTTTCTACCTTATCTCCTGAGAACAAGCAAATCCTGGGTCATAAGGATGAAGAAAGCTGCCTTTTAAATGTCACCTTGCTTTAACTTTGTACCGTTTTCTTTGTACTATGTTTAAAAGCTGCCTTCATCATTGAAATTTGTGCTTTGCACGGTATTTTTAATAGATGTTGAATTGCTACCGCGAACAAATGGTAACTCGAAGCAGCTTGGGTCGAGAAGATCACACAGATAAAACATTCATGTTTTCAGGAAGCGACCCAGTTGCAACAGGATGGTATAAGAACGATAAACAACGTCATCAAGTGCATCTTTTAGCCTTCTTTGCAAAGGAAAAACCTCAGCTTAACCCTGCGCACGGAACTTGAGAACGATCCTTATTGAAATGAATTTCTTTCGTAAACCCACTGAAATCGTCATTCTTTAAACGTGGAGAATGTGTACGGTGGGAAATGTTTTACAGAAGATACTGGTGCCTTCTACTTCACGTTTCCAATTAAAGGTTTTGCTGTTTATCAAATGCTTAAGATGGAATAAGCGTCTTTTGAAATGTATATTTGCAAATATTTTGTATCTAAAGGCAAACGTTCATGTAATAACTGCCTGATCTCATTGTTTATATAAGTAGCTCCTGTGTGGACTGGAACCAACTGGGTCTTAGTGCCACCTCAGGGTGAGCTGCCCGCTCCACTCAATGAGTCACTTTCTGCCCAGGCCGGGCAGCAGTTGTGGGGCTGTTATGTGATTCCCACGGAGGGATGAGGGGGATGGCGCAGGAAAATAGGTTTGGGATCCTCTGAGCTAAGCCAAGGTGTAAAGTCAACGAAAGAGTGAATACAACCAACTTTGAATCTCAACACGCCTGAAGGAAGGGGGGGTGGGGTTCCCATCATTTCATGAAAATCGGAAGAAGGGTGTAAAAGAATCCTGCTTGGATAGCAAGCACACCCCATCCAGCTCTGCAAGCAAGCTGCCCCAGACCGCTAAGCAAAACCGTGGAGACTCAAGAGGAATCCAAGCCAAGGAAAACCTCCCCAAAACTTCAACGTGGACTGGTGAGAGAATGTTAACTGCACTTGCAGTTGCTTTGCTGTGGCGCCTAGTGAAGACTCTAGCTATACCAAGAGGAGAGTGTCTCCCACGGGCGTAGGTACGCCACTTCCCTGAAAAGCACTGTCTACACGAGGTCGGTATCACTAGGTCGCTCAGGGGTGTGGATTTTCCACACCCCTGAGCCATGCACTTACACTGACATATGTTTGTTGAGTAGACCAGAGCTGGGACTACGCCAGGGGTTTAGATTTGAACGCGTGTTGTGATTTTATTGGAATTTAAAAGTGGTGTTGTCACTTAAAATACGAACAGTTTCTCAAGTGGTCAGACTATGACTTACTGGAGATGTGAAAAGGGCTAAACATTGTTAAACAGAGAAATAGCGGGACTTAATTGAATTTAAAATTCTTGATATTCGTAATTGGCCTGTTTGAATACAGGTCCTTAAATGGCTTCTTCTAATGAACAGATCTGAATATTTTCTTCATTTTCATAGGATCTAGTTAAGATTCGTCACTTTGCCCAATTATAAACGGGCTGGTTATTCGTTAATAACCAATAGGATACGCCTGCCCTTAAAGCAAATTATTTTGCCCATTTAGAAACATCCGTAGTTATCTAAGGATATACCAGAGAATGGAATCTCCATAATTTTGAGAAACAATATACCTTGGTCTCAACGTACCTGGAGAAAAGTACCCCTGTGAAGGTGAGCCGACTCTAATAGGGTTAAAAACTCTCCACGGAGAGGCATACAAAAGAGATTGTAACAGAAATAATCAGTTTATCATGTGTATGCTGTCATTTGTGTTGCTTTTTTTGATGTTTCCTTTTTTAATAATAAAATAGCCATGGTTAATAATTGTGGTGATTTTGCTTGGTCTTAATCCTGGTCTCCTCTAAGGTACATAAAAGAACTCCGGTGACTAAACATTGGGAGCCAGCACCCTGAATTGCAGTGAGATAAACAATTGGTGGAGCTCGCCTCCCCGCTCTTATTTCTCTAAGCTATATGTTTGTTAGTCATTTTTAAAATAAAATGACTGTGTGTATGTAAGGAGGACAAACTCTGTGTAGGTCAGACAGAAGCTAATGCTGCCGGAGTGAGGGAGTGGGCGGGGGCCAGACGGCGATGGGGAAAGAGCAAATCTCTCGGACTCACCCCAAGATACCCGAGATAGATCTGCTTTCAGTGTGTCTAGCTGAGATCAGCTCTGTCTCCCCCACCGGGAGACATTCCGGGTAAGAGAGGGACACACTCCCATGACTAATAGGACAAAAGACTTGATAGAAAGGATCATGGGATTTACCGAAGGCCAAGCTGTAAAAGCAAGCGACTCCCCTGAGAGACCACAGTGAGCAAATGGTGCAAACACCCTTTCAAGGCCACTCTGCGGGAAGCAAAATCTTTGTCCCGTTAGTCTCCGTTGTGGATCCTCTGGTGTTTAATAAGGGCTGAGCTCTGCGTGAAGCGTTTCCCGCACTCAGTGCACATATAGGGTCTGTCTCCCGTGTGAATTCTCTGATGTGCCATAAGGTTGGAGTTCTGTTTGAAGCTTCTCCCACAGTCGGCGCATGTATAAGGGTTCTCGCCAGTGTGGGTGCCCTGGTGTCGAATAAGGTGTGAGCTCACCGTGAAGCTTTTCCCGCACTCGGCGCATCCGTAGGGGGTCTCTCCCGTGTGGATTCTCTGATGCCGGATCAGGTTTGAACTGACGGTGAAGCTTTTCCCACAGTCCCGGCATTTGTAAGCTCGCTCCCCGGTGTGGATCCTCTGGTGGGCCATGAGGTTTGAGCTCTGAGTGAAGCGTTTCTCACACGCCGAGCACTGATAGGGGGTCTCCCCGGTGTGGATCCTCTGGTGGGTAACTAGGGCTGAGTGCTGAGGGAAGCGTTTCCCGCACTCGGGGCATTTGTAAGGTCTCTGCCCCGTGTGGAGTCTCTGGTGTCTGATAAGGGTTGAGCTGCGATTGAAGCGTTTCCCGCACTCAGGGCACTCATAGGGTCTCTCCCCCATGTGGATTCTCTCGTGTATAAGAAGGTCTGAGCGGTAAGTGAAGTTTTTCCCACACTCGGTGCATGGGTTTTTTCTCTTTGCCGTGGGGATTCGCTGCTGGGCTGTGATTGCTTTGAGGTTCCTGTGAGTTCTCTGACAATCAATGGATTTACCCACTTTCTGCCCCGGCTGGTTTCCCTGTTGCGGCTCCGGCCTGTGCCGCCCCTCACGAGCTTTTCCCTGCTCATGATGCCTGGACGCGCTCCCTTTGGATCTCCATGATAATCCTCCATGTGCTCCCACGTGCTTAGCCTCTTCCTGCTGCGGGCTCTGCGCCGCGTTCTCACTCAGCATCCCCGCACCTGCTGGGACAGAGAGAAAGAGTCCAGCGACCAGTCATCGCCCGGGCCCCGCCGAAAGGGGAAAGACTCGGGGGCAACACACCAAAGGAAGTGCTGTGGAGCTGGAAAGAATTAGGAGCCGAATCCCTGACACTCCTCATAAGAACAACAGAATGGCCGTTCCGGGTCAGACCAAAGGTCCATCTAACCCAGTATCCTGTCTGCCGACAGTGGCCAATGCCAGGTGCCCCAGAGGGAGTGAACTTAACAGGCAATGATCAAGTGATCTCTCTCCTGCCATCCATCTCCACCCTCTGACAAACAGAGGCTAGGGACACCATTCCTTACCCATCCTGGCTAATAGCCATTAACGGACTTAACCTCCATGAATTTATCTAGTTCTCTTTTAAACCCTGTTATAGTCCTAGCCTTCACAACCTCCTCAGGCAAGGAGTTCCACAAGTTGACTGTGCGCTGAGTGAAGAACTTCCTTTTATTTGTTTTAAACCTGCTGCCCATTAATTTAATTTGGTGGCCCCTAGTTCTTGTATTATGGGAATAAGTAAATAACTTTTCCTTATTCACTTTCTCCACATCACTCATGATTTTATAGACCTCTATCATATCCCCCCTTAGTCTCCTCTTTTCCAAGCTGAAGAGTCGTAGCCTGTTTAATCTCTCCTCATATGGGACCCGTTCCAAACCCCTAATCATTTTAGTTGCCCTTCTCTGAACCTTTTCTAGTGCCAGTGCTCCCAAGGGAGAGAAGCAGGGCTCGATTCTGCCCTCACACCCCCTCCAACACTCAGGGGGAAGGGAGGCCAGGGAGGCAGCTGCCAGGTGTCGGACAGGATGAGTAGGAAGCCATGAGCAACATCTGCCCTGAGGCCACGACACCTGCAAGGGACAATCCTGAGCTCAGAGAGTGGGTTTAATGAATTCACCCATGCAGACGCCTCGCAGACTCTGTCTTTCCTCGGAGCCCTGGAGCTCCGGGATCCAGGGCTCTTCCCCTTTTCCCAGCTGGGAGATCACATCTGCTTTGGAAATCGGCAACCCTGTTCGAAGGAAAAGAAAACAAGTGAGCTCGGGTGAATTCACGGGGCATGTGCCACCAGGAACCTTCTAGTGTTTTAACCCCGGGTCATTTCTAAACAGTAACGTTCGGGGACCAGCTCCCCAGGTAATCCAAGCCACAGGACTTGCTGCTAACGTGAGATGTAAGGATCCCCGCTCCGCTGAGAACACACACAGCCAGACACTCCTCATGAAAGCGGAGTCCCAAAACTCAGAAACAGCATCTCTATGTCCCAGCCAGAGCAGGGAGTCACCCTGGCCCGGCTTTATACTGACACAGAGGGGCCCCGGGACACATCGCCAGGAAGCTGGGACCGAGGAGGACGGGCTGGTGGGGATTAGCTCAGTTAGGAACTGGAGGGAACAGGGGCTTTCGCCGAATGCAGCAGCTAAGGGTATGAGAGGCCAAGACAGCACGTTTTGAGGAATTAGGGAACGTAGCGAGTCAGATGCAGTGGAAGGCAGCGCCGTCCCTAGCCATTTGGGTGCCCTACGCAGCCCCCCCATGTGGGGGCTGTGTGGGGCCCCTGGCCTCCCCCCCTCCAAGGTCTGGGAGGCAGGAGCTGTGGGGGGGGCACTTTTGGGGGCCCCGCAGTCCCAGAGTGGCCCGGGGGATTAGCAGGGGGCTGGGAGCCGCCCACTCTGCTTCCCTCACCCCGGCCCCAGCCGTGTCGCTCGGGGGAGGGGGTTTGGGGGAAGGGATCCCCCCCACACCCCCTGCAGCGGTGGGAAGCGGAGCAGCCCGGCCCCAACCCGCTCTACTCCGCCAGCTCCCAACCTTTCTCCAACCCGAGCGACACGGCTGGGGCTGGGGCAAGGGAAGCGGAGCGGGTTGGGGCCGCGTCTCTCCGTTTCCCACCGCTGGTGAGTGTGGGGGGCGTCCTTTTCCCCAACCTCCCCGCACTCACCAGGGGGGAAGGGTAAGAGGTGGGGCGGAGGGAGTTGGTCAGGGCCCCACACCCTCCTAAGGACAGCCCTGCCCCTTGCAGTGGTCACAGCCCGTGGGGGGGCCGGCCAGGGGATAGGGCTGGTCGCTGGGGCTGCCGCGTATGCAGCATGCAGCTGCCTAGGGCACCATGAAATTTGGGGCAATTTGGTGCCCCAAATGTCATCGTGCCCTACACAGCTGCGTATGCTGCGTATGCCTAAGGACGGCCCTGGTGGAAGGGATTATGAAGATCCCCAAGTGTGTGGAATCAGTTCTGATAATTCAGGATCTATAAACTGGAGACTCGTCTGCTGGGGAGGACAGAGGAGAAAGACCCAGGTATATTAGTCATTCAGAGGATGGATTATAAGACACCAATGTGAAGCAGCTGGGAGAAAGGCAAACGTAATCCCCGGCTGTATCAGGGGAGGTATTTGTAATGAGCAGTGAAAGCCTGGGCTGTTCCGTGGGTGGAAGTTAGAAAGTCAGGTGCAGAAAGATGCTGAAAAGGGCTGAGAACTGAAAAATTGGACAGCGACAGATGGCAAATCCCAGTGATGACAGAACCCGGAGATCTTCTCAACAAGACGAGCTCTCATTGACGCTGTTGACTGTTGCCGTCACTTCAGCCTGATTCAACAGGCATTTTAGGCTTCAGAACGGTGTTTGGGGTGCATGCCGGTTGTGCTGTGTGGGGTTGGTTCGTGCGTAGGAGGGGTTGTGCGGGGAAATTCGTGTTGGTTTGGGAAGGAGGCGAATGAACGGTGCTTGCTGGGGCGAGGGGCTACGCGTGTTTGGAGTTATTGTGGGTGTGCGGGTTGTGTTGTGTTGTGCTGTGTGGATTGGTGTGAGTGGCGTGTGCTGGGGTGGGGGCTGTGAGCCTTTGGGCATATTGCGGATGCTGGTTGTGTAACTCTCTCAGCGTTAGCCACAATGCTGGTCGCAAGCCTGGAGAAAAAGAGGAGAATTCTGCGACCAGGTCAGGGAGAACTTTGCTGCACGTACTTTGTGAACTCCAGGAAAGCTGACACCGATTCCGTGAGAAATGAGAAAATACTTGGTGTCCGTGGGATGCGATGGGGAGGGAGCGGGGAGATGTTGTCTGAGGGTGCAGCGACCTTATACTCAGGAGGACGAACCCATGACAGACGTGTAGGAATGACGCTGGAGAACATCACAACTGTCACGGCTGATTCCCCGCTCCGGTGCTTCGAGCGCAGAAGGTGGGGACCCGCCAGGATTCTAAAAATTCATACTGGCCGCTCCAGGCTGGTATTAAACCTCCAAGGTTACAGCTTCTCTCTGACCTTGGCTTGGTAAATGCTGCCACCACCCAAATGCAAAAAAAACCCCTTGGCCCCAGGAAGGAACACTTGGAAATTTCTCCCTGTGGGGTACCCTCCAGCCCCTTCACCTCCCCTCTGGGGAAGAGCTGAGAAAGAAACCAAAGCAAATCAGCTGTTGCCCCCAGCTAATTAAACAACATGTGCACAAACCTCTTAGGACACCAAAACCCAAATCCTGTTCTTAAAAAAGGTAAATTTTATTAAAAACAAAAAGGAAGAAGATACATCTGGAATTTAGGCTTTTCCCGAGATTTTAAAAGAGCAATTCCAAAAAATTAAGCCCCCAAACTAGGTTTCTTGGGGGTTCAGCTTAAAGGTTACAAGCAAACAAAAGCATCAGGGGTTAGCACAGAGGAGATCCACAAGCCAAAATAAAGAAATAAACCTGATTGCATTTATCTAAACATTCCCTATCCCAATGATTCCTTCTAGGTATGGAAGATAATTTTTCATACCTGGTTCAAACCTTACACAGCATTGCTGCTTATAGCATTGCTGCTCTGTGTCCCTGCAGCCCAGAGAGAACAACGGGCAAAGGGAAAGTTTCTTTCCCCATTTTAAAAAGTTCGACCTTCCCATTGGCTCTTTGGGTCAGGTGCCCACTTTCTTTTCTTTACCTGGGGGACTTTGGAAGCCAGCGCGTGACAGAATGACAATCGCCAGCCTGCAAACAAGACCTGTGAAGTGACCAGTCATCCAAATATCTGCCCCAGGAAATGCAGCAGATGACGGCAAAAAGGATATACTCTACCTGCTGGGAAGGAGTTGTGAATGGCTCTTGAATCTCCCTGGCACAAACAGCCTGAAGACCAGAGACAGTCTTTTTCAGCACAAGAGGATTCAAATGCTCATATGAAGATGGGCCCACCATGCGACTGGCAATCGCAGAGAACACGTGGGGATATGGGCATTCGCTCAGAGGGGTGCATGAGTCAGCAGAGGAGCAGATGGGGTCTCAGATCAGTCTCTTTTAGTGGCTACGTTACAACTGACACTCAAAAAGCTCCCGAGGAGAGACAAAAGGCGAGTTGTAGCAATAGAGGAGTTCAGGGTCCAAGAAAGACGGGGGAGATTCCAGGCTGCATTCAGCAACTGTGCCAGTGTTTTACAGGAGCAGGCTGATCAAAAGTCTGTGAGACAGATGTTTGAATGGGAAAAAGACAGTAGACAAGGCAGCCGAGGAAGTAGTGGGCCACTGAAGAGGCCAGAAGAAGGCGGAACGTGGGCATTGATTGACAGGGGGGCAAAAACGAACGGTGCAAGAGACAGACCTCAGAGTGCACACGAGAGAAAAGGGATAAAGCCGGGAGGCATGCAAGATAGGAATGCCTGGGTGCAGGTGAAGGCTGTGGCGGCAGAAGCAGCGGCACAGAGGAGAGATATCAAGCAGCTCTCTGAAATAGTGGAAGACCTCTCGGGAAAAACCAGACCACCACAGGCGGTGCCCATCAGCGACTCTCCTCGACAGATATTTGAAATGCACAAGTCAGACGATGAAAAGTGCATTCCCATTCAACCGCCCAGAGCCAAAGATCGTGCCCAGGTTTCAGAGAAAGGCCAATGCTAAGTTAGAAACAGACGAGGGACCTGTAACGCCCAAAGAAATGAAAGGGCTCAAACAGGAGAACGCTCCAGGGGTGGAGAGAATTCAAGAAGCTGGAGTTAAAATTCTAATTGAACAGCTAACCAAACGAACCAAATAAAGGTGAAGGAACGAATGCCACGTGGCGGCATTGTGACAGTGCCCAAAAGGGGGATCTTAGTGCACAAACTGGAGCGGCGTTATGCTGTTATTAATCCTGGGGAAAGTACTGGCTACCGTTTTGCTGAACTGAATTAAGGAGGCCGGGAAAGAAACATCATGAGCAGAACAGGCTGGCGTCCAGCCAGCCAGATCATTTTGGAACAGCTGTTCATGCCTCAACTGTTCATCGAAAAAGCGACGGCAGCTTAGTCAACTTTAAGGAAGCGTTTGACGGTGTCCGGAGAGAGACCTTGAGGAATACAGACAATCTGGTCTATGTAAGGAGGAGTTTATATGATGGACGTACGGCAGAACCTCAGGGTTACGAACACCTCGGGAAGGGAGGTTGTCTGTAACTCTGAAATGTTCGTAACTCTGAACAAAACATTATAATTGTTCTTTCAAAAGTTTACGACTGAACATTGATCTAATACAGCTTTGAAACTGTACGGTGCAGAAAAAAAAGTGCTGCTTTCCTTTTATTTTTTTAGTAGTTTATGTTTAATACAGCACTGTATTGTGTTTGCTTTTCTTCTTTGGTCTCTGCTGCTGCCCGATTGTGTACTTCTGGTTCCAAATGAGGTGTGTGGTGACTGGTCAGTTCGTAACTCTGAGGTTCTACAGTAGATGAGCATTAGGATTGGATGCAGGCTTTGGTGAATGGCTCCATATTGTGAGTGGGGTCAGATGAGGGTATATATAATCACCAATCCTCTTTCCATTCACAATAGAGTGGCTGATGAAGCAGGCAACAAAAGGCATTATGGACTGTGTCCAGTGGGTTGGCACAGACGAGTTACACAACTTTGACTTTGCTGAGGACTTTGCTTTACTAAGTTTGACATGGAACAAAATGATCACCCTTAACCCAGGGCAATCAAAAATTAGATTGAACGTAAATGCCGGGAAAACCAAGGATGGAATCCAGACAACAGGTGCAAAGATGCAGGTGGATGGCACAGAAATCTAACCGGTCGAAGAGCTTTGCTCTTGGGGGAGTGTGGTGCTATCTGAAGGTGGCTGCGCTGAAGATATTCGTGCAAGCTGAGGAAAAGCAAACACCACTTTTGGAAGGATTAGCAACATCTGGTCAAACAGAGGATCAGAGTCATAAACCAGAGGGTTAGAATGGACCGCAAGGGTCATCTAGGCTAACCCCCTGCCAAGACGCAGGATGTGTTGTGTCTAAGCCAGCCGAGACAGATGCTCTCCAGCCCCCTTCTGAAAACCTCCAGTAAAGGAGCTTCCAGGACCTCCCCAGGCGTCTGTTCCATCGTCCTGCTGTTCTCACACTTAGGAAGTCTTTCCTGAGATTTAATCTAAATCTCCTGTGCTGTAGTTTGACCCCATCACCTCTTGTCCTGCCCTCTGTTACAGACTAGGGACCGAATGGCCAGGAAGCAGTTCTGCAGAAAAGGACCTAGGGGTTACAGTGAACGAGAAGCTGGATATGAGTCAATAGTGTGCCCTTGTTGCCAAGAAGGCTAACGGCATTTGGGGCTGTATAAGTAGGGTCATTGCCAGCAGATCGAGGAACGTGATCATTCCCCTCTATTCGACATTGGTGAGGCCGCATCTGGAGTACTGTGTCCAGTTTTGGGCCCCACACTACAAGAAGGATATGGAAAAATGGAGGGCAATGAAAATGATTCGGGGGCTGGAGCACATGACTTATGAGGAGAGGCTGAGGGAACTGGGATTGTTTAGTCTGCAGAAGAGAAGAATGAGGGGGGATTTGATAGCTGCTTTCAACTACCTGAAAGGGGGTTCCAAACAGGATGGATCTAGACTGTTCTCAGTGGTAGCAGATGACAGAACAAGGAGTAATGGTCTCAAGTTGCAGTGGGAGAGGTTTAGGTTGGATATTAGGAAAAACTTTTTCACTAGGAGGGTGGTGAAGCCCTGGAATGGGTTATCTAGGGAGGTGGTGGAATCTCCTTCCTTAGAGGTGTTTAAGGTCAGGCTTGACAAAGCCCTGGCTGAGATGATTTAATTGGGGATTGGTCCTGCTTTGAGCAGGGGGTTGGACTAGATACCTGCTGAGGTCCCTTCCAACCCTGATATTCTATGATTTTATGAACGGCCATATGGGGTCAGACCCATGGTCTGTCTAGCCCAGTATCCTGTCTGCCTACAGTGGCCAGAGCCAGGTGCTTCAGAGGGAATTAACAGAACAGGGAATTCCTAGTGATCCATCCCCTGCTGTCCAATCCCAGCTTCTGGAAATTGGAGGTTTAGGGACACCCAGAGCAGGGGGCTGTGTCCCTGACCATCTTGGCTAATAGCCACTGATCAACGTATGCTCTATGAGTTTATCTAATTCTTCTTTGAACCCAGTTATACTTTTGGCCTTCACAAGAGCCCCTGGCAGGGAGTTCCACAGGTTGACTCTGAGTTGTATGAAGAAATATTTCTTTTGGTTTGTTTTAAACCTGCTGCCTATTCATTTCATTGGGTGACTCCTAGTTCTTGTGTTATGAGAAGGAGTAAACAACACTTCCTTATTTACTTTCTCCACACCGGTCATGATTTTATAGACCTCTATCATATCCTCACCTCAGTCGTCTCTTTTCCAAGCTGAAAAGTCCCAGTCCTATTAATCTCGCCTCATAGAGAAGCCATTCCATACTCCTAATCATTTTAGTTGCTCTTCTCTGATCCTTCTCTAATGCCAGTATATCTTTTTTGAGATGAGGTGACCACATCTACGCACAGTAATCAAGGTGTGGGCGTACTGTGGATTTATAGAGAAGCAATATGATAGTTTCTGTCTCATTAGCTATCCCTTTCTTAATGATTCCCAGCATTCTGTTTGCTTTTTACTGCCACTGCACATTGAGTGGATGTTTTCAGAGAACTATCCACAATGACTCCAAGTTCTCCCTCATGCTAACGGGGTTAATGATGGCCAGATGGACCAATTAACCTATTAGGCTGAAGACTGAGAGGAAAATCCTACTTAGGGGACGCTCGCCTGTGTGGGAACAGGCAGGGAGCTGATCATAGGAAGGGGGCTTCAGGGAGGTAGTTTGCAGTCACTCCCTGGGAGACGGGAGCTGTGTTTGGGGGCTAGAGAGACGAACAGCCCACGGTTGCTCTCTGGGAGAGCGGCGTAGAGAGACCGGCAAAGGCCAGACAAGGGGGAATGCTGGGATAGGAAGCAGCCCAGGGATTAAAGAGCAACGTTGTGGCCTGAACAGAACTTGGATGTTTGTTGCAGGGTCCCTGGGCTGGAACCCAGAGCAGCCAGGAGAAGTCGCAAGCTGAGTGGCGCATCCAGTGATTGGTGGTAACAGTTAATTGAGAACTCGTTATTTTGTGTGCATAGTTGGGATGATGTTTTCCAACGTGCATCACTTTGCATTTATCCGCATTGAATTTCATTGGCCGGTTTGTGGTCCGGTCACCCAGTTTTGTGAGATCCCTTTATAGCTCTTCGCAGTCTGCTTTGAGTCATCCTGGATCCTCTGCAAACTTGGCCACCTCTCTGTTTACCCCCTTTTCCCAGATTATTTACGAATATGTTGAGCAGCCCTGGTCCCAGTGCAGCTCCTTGGGGGACCCCGCTATTCACCTCTCTCCATGGTGAACCCGACCGTTTTATTCCTATCTGGCAGGAAGAAATCACCCAGGAAGGGGCTCTGGGGAAGAGTGCCTGTCACGGCGACTTCCCAGAGAGCGTAGGGGCTGACCCCTCAGGAATGAGAGGAGGGCTGTGGGAAGGGAACAGGATCACACATGAGTTGTGGGGACGATGTGACGAAGTCTCCTTTAATCTAAGGAACCAGGGAAAGAACTTCCAGCAGAAACTGATACGGGTGCTGGAGAGACCCCACAGCTTCTAGTAACCGAGGGGACGGGAATCCTTACCCAGCGAGGTCACATTCTCGTAGTTCTCCTGCATGACGTCCCTGTAGAGAGCTCTCTGAGTGGGGTCCAGCAGAGCCCCCTCTTCCCTGGTGAAATACACAGCCACCTCCTCGAAGGTCACCGGCCCCTGAAAGAGCAAGAGTCCCACAGTCAGTACCTGCTGCCCCACTCACAGCCCCACTATTCACGGGAAAGGAGCCAATCAAATGAAAGCTCTGGGAGGCTCCCAATCACAGTCCCACCCCCACACTGGGAAGTTGACCCAGCCCAGTCCGGGGCGGGTTGGTTCCAGTTTCAAAAATTGGGGAATTTTCACCTCAACCTCATGGGTCTGGTCATAGAATCTAGTTCCAGGCTGAATAAGTCCCAGTAGGTTAGTCACACCCTGTCCCCTTCCCTTTCTCCGCCCTGGGTATTTCCTGCCCCCTCCCGCCTGAAGACCAAATCCCTCAACAGCGCCCACCTCCTGTGCATCTACTGCCCCGCTCCCTCCAGTCGGAGCCACTGGGAAGTCGCTACCTGAATCGGCTCCTCTGCAGCCTTTTCCCTTCCCTGTCCCCGTGAACGATGGGACAATCTGGAGTGACAGCCTGTCCAGGTGAGAAGGGCAATGGAGGAGATAGTTAATTTCACACCCTGATTCCCCCAAGCCCTTTCCCCGCAGACGGACTTCGTCAACCCTGCCACGCTGGGAAAACGCTCTGTCTCTTTGTAACCCAGCAGGCCCAGCCCCCTCCCAAAAGCGCCGAACCCACAGAGACTTTTTAAACCCTCCCAGGAACGGCGTCTGCATCAAACACTAGAGAAAGAGCAGCATCAAAGGAGCCCCCGGCGCTGTCCCGCCAGCAGGGCCAGAACTAGACAGAGCCAGGAAGCGTTTTTCCCTCTCTCTGCTCCTCACCCCGTCTACAGTGGGTGTGTCTGGGTGGGTTAGAGATTCGGGAATCTCCCACCACTTCTTTCTCCTGATGCCCTCTTCAGTCGCTCTCCCCTCGAGATGGGAGACTGGGCCACCACCCCGTTCTTGGGGGTGTTCTCTTCCCCTCACAGGACCCGCTCTGCCAGGGCCCAGAAGGCTGGATGCCAGGCAGGAAGATAAGCTTGATCCACAACTCAGTACAAGGTCAGTGGGAGACATTTAAGGGCCCGGGTGAAGCCGGTCAGCCTCGCTGACAGAAACATCCCTTTTGGTCTGAATCGTAACGAGGGCAGCAGCTCTGTGGCTCCCAGAGACACGAGGAGCAGAGATGGGGGAGGAGGAAGCGCTCACTGTGCAGTCAATTTCCTGCCCAGCCCCAATGCTTTCCCTGAGCTCTCTCTCAACCACCTGGACGCTCTGATCAGGAGATCCTGTCAGCAGCGTCTGGGGCTAGTCCTAGCGGGAGAACTTCCCCACCTTGGCTAGGCTCAGAAGGAGCTTTAATGAAGGTCTCTCCCCAGCACAGACCCAGCTGTTTCTCTGCAGGCAGCGTCAGGAATAAATCAATGGGAACACGGGGCTTCCGTCTGATAAATGATGGATACAAGCAAGCGTGTTCTTATCTAAAACTACTATTTATTAGATATGAAGCGCGCACACACACACACACACACACACACACACAGTAGGTTTAGGACAACCCAGATATAATTAACCACAGTCTGAGATGGTTTCGAGCGATCACCAGCCGGGTTTCCAGAGGCCCTTGTTCCATCCAGCTGATGGGGAGTTTAGATGCAAGCTCCTTACCCTAAGAAAAGCTCCCTCGGACTGCTCCAAGGTGTTTACTTTCACCTAATCTTTTATAGCAAACTCTAACAAAGCACATAACCCACAGGGACTCCTCTCCTGGGTCACCAATTCTCCTCATTTCAACAAACTGCTCATTATCTCAAAACACTTCTAGTATTTCTAGCCAGAACAACAATACGTCTGGGGCACTTCAAACCCAGGTCGCTGTTCACTTCCATAACTTTCTGTCCCATCCTCCCATTCTGGTTAACCAACTGCAAGCCTGCCGCTGTCTGTCCTTGTCTCATACAGGCCTAAGATCATTCCTACGTCAGTGGTATTGGAGTTTCAGACGGCAGTGGGGGGAGGGATAGCTCAGTGGTTTGAGCTAAACCCAGTTCAATCCTTGAGGGGGCCATTTAGGGAACTGGGGTAAAAATCTGTCTGGGGATTGGTCCTGCTTTGAGCAGGGGGTTGGACTAGATGACCTCCTGAGGTCCCTTCCAACCCTGATATTCTATGATTCTAATCTACAAAATCGCTGACGGCAGGGCTGTCACGTCCAGGGTATATGCAGGAATGTCAAATTCCGGGGTAACATTCCTGGTGGATGATGATCAGACTGGAGTTTTTCATGCCTCTCGGCTGCACTCCAGCAATGCAACAGACCTGGGCATGAAGTCTTCTCTGCTTAGGACACTTGAACTTGTACAGAGCCTGTCATACATCTCAGCAACACACGAGACTGCAAAAACCTCAGAGCGGTCCTCTACCTTCTGGGCTGCCTCCAGAGCATTCCCTGGCCTGGGCCCAGGATAGCTAATAGATCATGTAATGCTCTGGGAGGAAGCGTGTGGTCACCAGCTACGCTTCTCTGGCACAACAGAACTCTCTACAAGAAGGGTAAAGCTCATAAAAACCTAAGAACGGCCACACTGGGTCAGACCAATGGTCCATCTAGCCCAGTGTCTTGTGCCAGATGCTTCAGAGGGAATGAACAGAACAGGGCAATAATTGAGTGATCCATCCCCTGTCACCCATTCCCAGCTTCTGGCAGTCAGAGGTTTAGGGGCACCCAGAGCATGGGGTTGTATCCCTGACCATCTTGGTGAATAGCCATTGATGGACCTGTCCTCCATGAACTTATCTTTTTTTTCCCCTTTAACCCAGCTCATCTGTGAGGGAGACAGAGCTTTCTGAGAGTCTGGAATGGACGCTCCTAGGAACTAAAGACCATCCCAAACCTCACCACCTTCCACTCCGAGCGCAAGGCGCTTTTTTTTTTTTAAGGTTGTCTCCTCTAACGGCAAGTACATCGCAACTATGAGTCTATTCAGACCCACCACCACCAGAAAGTGAAACCGGCAGACAGCCCTACCAAAACGAGACACCCCGGTGCACAAGCTTCTCCCGCAGGAGAGAGGAGAAGAAAACAAAGAACAACATGTAACTGATGAGTAGTTACCTTGTTTAATGACTGGAAACTCCTCACGTACCATGGTGCTGTATGCAATACAAGGACCTAATCGAACAGAGATCCTGCACCTCAACCCCATAGCAATACCCAGAGACCTCTGGTGATAGGATCTAATGAAACCACCTCCCCACAGAGACAGAGGCTGATCATTGGGGAGCCTCTTCCCACCAATCCTGACCCCCACATCAGGGGTAAAGACTCAGAGCAACCAGTTTTCACTCCAAAACATGAAGTTCCTGTAGTTTTGAAGGGTGGAAAGAAAAAAAAAACCCACCTATTTCTTTGATTTTTGACATCAGTATTTAATATTACCACCCACAGATGGCCATGCACACAGGCCACAGGGAACCCCATGCAATGTGGCTTTAGCAGGAGAAGGGAGACATTTCAAGTCGGAGATAACTAGAGCGAAAATGGGGCAAAAACTGAATAGCGGAGAACGTGTAATAAAAATGCAATGCCTGAGAGACAAGGGGAGAAATCAGAGGGGATTTTAAATGAATGTTTGATCAATTAGAAAATGATGGCATGCCCCTGGAGTGCCGTTCACATGGGCAGCAGGAAGCCTTGGGCGACACCACTTTAAAAAGGGAAAAGGCAGGGTTATGGGGCTGGATGTTTCTCTGACAAAGTGGGGAGGTGTGGGGCGGGATGGCCTAGGTCCGGAGGCCCTACATCACCCTGCCCCAGAAAAGAGCAGCGAGAAGTCCTCCAGGCAGCCTAGAGTGGCTGCAGAGGAGCGGCCAATCAGAGGGGCTGATGGAGCGACCAATCCGGGGCCGGAAGGGCCCTATATAAGACAAGCAGCAGGACCAGGGAAAGGTCAGTGCGGGCAGGCTGATGCCCAGGGGGACTGAGCACAGAACCTGCCCAGGCCAGCGAGGTTACTGAGATGGGCCCCACTGATCTGGTTGAAGTGGCTGGGTGGGGAGTGCAACATCTGTCATGGGAAAACTCAACCTGGCATTAATGATTTCACCTTCTTTCTTCCCTGACTGCCTCTCGTAGGCTTTCCCCTGCTCATGATTCTGGGAAACCTTC